CAATACGGTCTACTTCCTGTTTCCGGCCATAGCCAACCCAATTATTTACGGGTTGAGGGTAACTGAAATTAAAGACTGTTTGATGAAGCCCTGGAAAAAGAAATCTCTAGTAAGTTTAAAAAACGTCTGATGCGTATGAGTCTGCTAAATGTATGTGTGTAACGTCTCATAACGTCTCAGATAATCAGGTTCATAAATTACACATTTTAAACAAAAGCAATGTTACCATGCATGGGTTTATGTCCACCATTTATATCTCCAGTCTGATTCCCTAAGTCAGACAGATAAAATATACCTTTTCCCCATCCATGGATTCTTACTCTTTCTGGGGTCTTCAAGGTATACCCAGGCCACATGCTGGAGGTAGAACCCCTTCAAGGTGTCACCACACTAGATAATGGGGTTATAAAGCCTCCAAGGTGTTTCTGGGCAAGATGATCATTGTATAACCTGTCCCAGGTTACCAGGCCAGGTGATGGAGGTGACACCCCTTCAAGGTGTTCCCACACTAGATAATGGGGTTATAAAGCCTCCAAGGTGTTTCTGGGCAAGATGATCATTGTATAACCTGTCCCAGGTTACCAGGCCAGATGATGGGGGTGATACCCCTTCAAGGTGTTCCCACACTACATAATGGAGTTATAAAGCATCCAAGGTGTTTCCAATGTATAACCTGTCCCAGGTTACCAGGCCAGATGATGGGGGTGACACCCCTTCAAGGTGTTCCCACACTAGATAATGGGGTTATAAAGCCTCCAAGGTGTTTCTGGGCAAGATGATCATTGTATAAACATGTCCCAGATTACCAGGCCAGGTGATGGAGGTGACACCCCTTCAAGGTGTTCCCACACAGGATAATGGGGTTATAAAGCCTCCAAGGTGTTTCCAATTTATAACCTGTTTCAGGGCACCAGGCCGGATGATGGTGTAACCCTTTCAAGGTGTTCCCACACTACATAATGGGGTTATTAAACCTCCATGGTGTTTCCGGGCAAGATGATCATTGTAGGTTGCCAGGCCAGATGATGGAGGTTAAACCCCTTCCAGGTGTTCCCACACTACATAATGGGGTTATAAAGCATCCAAGGTGTTTCCAATTTATAACCTGTTTCAGGGCACCAGGCCAGATGATGGAGGTGAAACCCCTTCAAGGTGTTCCCACACTAGATAATGGGGTTATAAAGCCTCCAAGGTGTTTCTGGGCAAGATGATCATTGTAAAACCTGTCCCAGGTTATCAGGCCAGATGATGGAGGTGACACCCCTTCAAGGTGTTCCCACACTACATAATGGGGTTATAAAGCCTCCAAGGTGTTTCTGGGCAAGATGATCATTGTATAACCTGTCCCAGGTTACCAGGCCAGATGATGGGGGTGACACCCCTTCAAGGTGTTCCCACACTTATAATGGGGTTATAAAGCCTCCAAGGTGTTTCTGGGCAAGATGATCATTGTATGACCTGTCCCAGGTTACCAGGCCAGGTGATGGAGGTGACACCCCTTCAAGGTGTTCCCACACTAGATAATGGGGTTATAAAGCCTCCAAGGTGTTTCTGGGCAAGATGATCATTGTATAACCTGTCCCAGGTTACCAGGCCAGATGATGGGGGTGATACCCCTTCAAGGTGTTCCCACACTACATAATGGAGTTATAAAGCATCCAAGGTGTTTCCAATGTATAACCTGTCCCAGGTTACCAGGCCAGATGATGGGGTGACACCCCTTCAAGGTGTTCCCACACTAGATAATGGGGTTATAAAGCCTCCAAGGTGTTTCTGGGCAAGATGATCATCATTGTATAACATGTCCCAGATTACCAGGCCAGGTGATGGAGGTGAAACCCCTTCAAGGTGTTCCCACACTAGATAATGGGGTTATAAAGCCTCCAAGGTGTTTCTGGGCAAGATGATCATTGTAAAACCTGTCCCAGGTTATCAGGCCAGATGATGGAGGTGACACCCCTTCAAGGTGTTCCCACACTACATAATGGGGTTATAAAGCCTCCAAGGTGTTTCTGGGCAAGATGATCATTGTATGACCTGTCCCAGGTTACCAGGCTAGGTGATGGAGGTGACACCCCTTCAAGGTGTTCCCACTAGATAATGGGGTTATAAAGCCTCCAAGGTGTTTCCAATTTATAACCTGTTTCATGGCACCAGGCCGGATGATGGAGGTGACACCCCTTCAAGGTGTTCCCACACTAGATAATGGGGTTATAAAGCCTCCAAGGTGTTTCCAATTTATAACCTGTTTCAGGGCACCAGGCCGGATGATGGAGGTGTAACCCTTTCAAGGTGTTCCCACACTACATAATGGGGTTATTAAACCTCCATGGTGTTTCCGGGCAAGATGATCATTGTAGGTTGCCAGGCCAGATGATGGAGGTGAAACCCCTTCAAGGTGTTCCCACACTAGATAATGGGGTTATAAAACCTCCAAGGTATTCCCAGGCAAGATGATCATTGTAAAACCTGTCCCAGGTTACCAGGCCAGATGATGGAGGTGAAACCCCTTCAAGGTGTTCCCACACTACATAATGGGGTTATAAAGCCTCCAAGGTGTTTCTAGGCAAGATGATCATTGTATAACCTGCCCAAGGTTACCAGGACAGATGATGGAGGTGAAACCCCTTCAAGGTGTTCCCACACTAGACAATGGGGTTATAAAACCTCCAAGGTATTCTCAGGCAAGATGATGGTTGTATAACTTGTCCCAGGTTACCAGGCCAGATGATGGCGGTATAACTCCTCCAAGGTGTTCCCACATCAGATGATGGAGGTCTAACTCCTCCAAGGTGTTCCCACATCAGATGATGGAGGTATAACTCCTCCAAGGTGTTCCCTTTTCAGATGATGGAGGTATAAACTCCTCCAAGGTGTTCCCACATCAGATGATGAAGGTATAACTCATCTGAGGTTTTTTCCTTTTCAGATGATGGAGGTAAAACTCCCTGCAAAGATATTCAGGGTACCCAGACCAGATGATGGAGGTGTAACCCTTTCAAGGTGTTCCCACATAAAACCTCCATGGTATTCCCAGGCAAGATGATGGTTATATAACTTGTCCGAGCTTACCAGAACAGATGATGGAGGTATAACTTCTCCAAGGTGTTCCCACATCAGATGATGGAGGTATAACTCCTCCAAGGTGTTCCCACATCAGATAATGGAGGTATAACTCCTTCAAGGTGTTCCCACATCAGATGATGGAGGTATAACTCCTCCGAGGTTTTCCCTTTTCAGATGATGGAGCTAAAACTCCCTGCAAAGATATTCCCAGACCAGATGGTGAAGATACAATCCCTACAAAGTGTTCCAAAGTAAGGCAGATGGGAGATATAACTCTGCCAAGGTATTCTTGAGCCAAATAATGGCGGTATAAACCCGCCAAGGTGTGACCCTTCAAAGGTGTTCTCAGGCCATATAATGGAGGTGTTAATAGGCCACATGATGGAAGTATAACACGCCCAAGGTGTTCTAAGGCCATATGATGGAATTACAATTCTACCAAGTTGTACCCAAATTAGATAATGGATATTTAAACCCTCCAAGGGGTTCCCAGGTCAAACGATGGAGCAATAACCCCTCCAAAGTGATTCCAGACCAGATACTGGAGATCCCTAGACTTCTTACTATATCATATATGTAACGGAACCTGACCCCGACTGCGCTAGGGTATTTCCATTATTCTCCCGCTTCCCTGTCCGAACACAGACCACAGACACCACCGCTGACCATACAGGAAATAGACAGCACCGGGCTTCTTCAGACAGGAAATAGACTGCTTTATTTTAACACAAACTCAAGATATATACACAGGGCGGGGCAATACACCCAGTTATTATTATTATTATTATACAGTATTTATAAAGCACCAATAGTTGGCTCAGCGCTGTACATTACAGAGGGGGACAGAACATGTGACAGAACAATACCAATACAATGTGAAACATGAGGGGATCAAGGGCCCTGATCCTGGGAGCTTACAATCTAGGAGGGAGGGGCTGCTCTTTCGAGATTACAATCTAGGAGGGGGGGGATGGTGGCACAGGAGGAGAAAGCTGTGGGGGATGGAGTGGTAGGAAGAGTGGAGGAAGTCGGCAAGTTAGCAGGGGGTGGGGTAGGCTTCCCTGAAGAGATGGGTTTTCAGGGTGCGCCTAAAGGAGAGGAGAGTAGGTGACAGTCTGATGGATTGGGGGTAGTGAGTTCCAGAGGATGGGTGACACCCTGGAGAAGTCCTGGTGGTGGGCATGGGAGGAGGAGACCAGGAACTAGAGAGAAGGAGGTCTTGTGAGGAGCGGAGAGTGCATGTTGGGTGGTATTTGGATATTAGATCAGTGATGTAGTTCGGGGCAGAATGATGGACAGCTTTGTATGTCAGCGTTAGGATTTTGAATTTGATCTGTTGTGCAATCGGAAGCCAGTGGAGGGAGTGGCAGAGGGGGGTGGAGGACACTGAGTGGAGGCCAGTGGAGGGATTGGCAGAGAGGGGTGGAGGACACTGAGTGGAGGTCAGTGGAGGGAATGACAGAGGGGGGTGGAGGACACTGAGTGGAGGCCAGTGGAGGGATTGGCAGAGGGGGGAGGAGGACACTGAGTGGAGGCCAGTGGAGGGATTGGCAGAGGGGGAGGAGGACACTGAGTGGAGGCCAGTGGAGGGATTGGTAGAGGGGGGGAGGACACTGAGTGGAGGCCAGTGGAGGGATTGGCAGAGGGGGGTGGTGGACACTGAGTGGAGGCCAGTGGAGGGAATGACAGAGGGGGGTGGAGGACACTGAGTGGAGGCCAGTGGAGGGATTGGTAGAGGGGGGGAGGACACTGAGTGGAGGCCAGTGGAGGGATTGGCAGAGGGGGGTGGTGGACACTGAGTGGAGGCCAGTGGAGGGAATGACAGAGGGGGGTGGAGGACACTGAGTGGAGGCCAGTGGAGGGATTGGCAGAGAGGGGTGGAGGACACTGAGTGGAGGCCAGTGGAGGGATTGGCAGAGGGGGGTGGAGGACACTGAGTGGAGGCCAGTGGAGGGATTGGCAGAGGGGGTGGTGGACACTGAGTGGAGGCCAGTGGAGGGATTGGCAGAGAGGGGTGGAGGACACTGAGTGGAGGCCAGTGGAGGGATTGGCAGAGGGGGGTGGCGGAGATGGATTGGTTGGTGAGGTGAATGAGTCTGGCAGCCGTATTCAGGATGGACTGAAGCGGGGATAGCCAGCGGCGAGGCAGGCCAGTGAGGAGGGAGTTGCAGTAGTCGAGTCGTAATATGATGAGGGAGTGGATGAGTTGCTTAGTGGTTTCTGGGGTTAGGAATGTGCGGATTTTGGCGATGTTGCGGAGGTGGAGTCTGCATGTTGCGGAGGTGGAGTCTGCATGTTGTGGAGGTGGAGTCTGCATGTTGCGGAGGTGGAGTCTGCATGAGTTTGTTAAAGATTGGACTTGGGGCTGGAAGGATAGGTTGGAGTCCAGAAAGACAACAAGTACTCTGGCCTGCGGGGCGGGGTTTGATGGTGGCGTTGTTGGACGTGATGGAGAAGTCATGGGGGGTGGTGTCCGGGCTGGGGGGGGAAGACTAGGAGCTCGGTTTTGGAGAGGTTCAGTTTAAGGAAGTTGAGTGACATCCAGTCTGATATGTCGCTCAGTGGGCAGGTGATTCGGGTGGAGACTGAAGGGGTGAGGCGAGGGGTCCAGAGATAGATTTTTGTGTCGTCGGCATAGAGGTGGTAGGTGTAGATGGAGAAGAGAAGGGGCCTGAGGACGGAGCCTTGAGGGACCCCAACAGAGAGGGGGAGTGTGTGAGGGGGGAGGTGGTAGCATTATAGGTAACGCTGAAAGAGCGTTGTGACAGGTAGGATGAGAGCCAGGAGAGGGCAGAATCTCTGAGGCCGAGGGAGTGTAGTTTTTTGAGGAGGAGGGGGTGGTCGACTGTGTCAAAGGCCGCAGAGAGGTCAAGGAGTAGGAGCACTGAATAGTGGCCATTAGCTTTGGCGGTTAGAAGGTTGTTGGAGAGTTTGAGTAAGGCAGTTTCGGTGGAGTGTAGGGGACAGAAGCCGGACTGTAGGGGATCGAGGAGGTTGTTGTCAGTGAGGTGAGAGCTTAGGCTATTGTAGACTAAGCGTTCTAGGAGTTTAGATGTAAATGGCAGCAGGGAGATGGGTCTGAGGTTGTTCGGGTCGTTGGGGTCCAGGGAGGGCTTTTTAAGTATGGGGGTGATGTGTGCATGCTTCAGAGGGGAGGGGAATGCGGAAGAGAGGGAGAGATTAAAGATGTGGGTGAGGGAGCATAGGATGGAGGGGGAGGGAGGTCGTAGGAGTTGTGAGGGGACAGGGTCAAAGGGGCAGGTGGTGAGGCAGGTGTCAGTAAAGACCTTGGTGACCTCCTCGATGGTAGTAAGGTCGAAGGTGTGGAGTGTGGAGGGGGTTTCAGTGTGAGGAATGTTGGGTGGGGTGGAGGTCAGAGCAGTGGTGGGGCCGTGGGAGAAGGGTGATGAGAGGGTAGCTGTTGATTTAGTCACGGACTGAATCGTCCGGTGCTTATCTGTTCCTGTCCTAATTTATGACGCTAGCTTTGGAATGTGCGCACATTGGAAGGGACTCACGCTGACACACAAGTTCAGTCTATGAATACTTCTAGTTTATTATAATGAGAAAGTGAACTTATATATGCAGAATGATGCGAGAGTCATGTGACAACAGCATAAGCATTATATTAGTCTTTGATTGGTCATTTCCACATGAAAACAATCTCCGTCATGGTATAGGTGTGATCTTCTTCCAGGCCTTATCTCATAGAGAAGAAAAAAAACATTCCTTTGTTTCCCAAATCACACGGTGGGAGGGGGTCTGTGTGTGTGAGCAGACATTTCTTAAGCAAGGATTTCTTATAGTACCACAAAGCCCAGCAGGCAAAAAATATTCACACAACATATGTATTAAAGTATAAAAGTAAATATTTATAAAACTTATAGAAATAGCGTATATATATATATATTCAATAGGAAACGAAATAGGCATTTTACCAAATCCATCACAGTCCCCCCAATTAAAATGACTATTTTCCTCTGTCCCTATAAGACCTCGCTCATCTGTCCCTATAAGACCTCGCTCATCTGTCCCTATAAGACCTGGCTCATCTGTCCCTATAAGACCTCGCTCATCTGTCCCTATAAGACCTCGCTCATCTGTCCCTATAAGACCTCGCTCATCTGTCCCTATAAGACCTCGCTCATCTGTCCCTATAAGACCTCGCTCATCTGTCCTTATGTACCTTGGAACTCTTTTATGCTGTACGTTAGACAGGTGATGACTATTTCATCCCCCCCCCTTGCCACAGACTTTGTACATAAGGAAGTCAGATGCTATCCCTACAAAATTGTGAGATTACTATTGGCGGGGAGGGACCGTAATGGGGTGTAAGGTTTTTCTTCATCTATCATGTGGGGATCCTCTTGCTCCTGGTTCAGGAAGGTAGGTGTTCTGTTGTCTACAGCTTTGCTCATCAATTTCCTCACACATGGTATAACACAGCATACAACCAGGACCAGGAGAATCAGAATTATTAATACAGTTACCCCTATTTGGACAAGTATCTTTTGCCACCCACTCATCCAACTGAAATATTGATCCCACAAGTCTGTGATCCCTGAATTCTTTTTCAACTCAACTGACAGATCTTCCAATTTCTTTATAGACAGAGTAACCTTACCATTCGGGCCAGTATTGTCAGGAATATATGTACAACATGTTCCGGTTCCTTCTATCATTTTACAGACACCTCCTTTTTCTGCTAAAATCATGTCCAGAGCCATCTACCTATTCTGGAATGTCATGTAGGATGTAGGGGCTACTGGTCAACGATTCCTTGAGGGCATCCCTGGTGTAATTCACAAACCTCTGTTGGTTGTAGTATATGTAATTTATCTAATCTACATTTTTATTAACAGTTATCATGGGAATCAGGGATTCAAAGCCTGCTTTACTTGGTCTCTGGCTTTAAATTTATTAGGCACCCCCCCCTTGGGACTCCAATGGCATCTATATACACTTGTGGGTCAAAACTACCAGAAGGAGCTTTTTCGTTTCCTCCTACGGTCAGGCGTTGGGTCAGGGGTATTCTCTGCTAGGATGTGGGAGAGGCATAATGGCCTTTCACAACAAAGAGCACACTCACCAGTCCAAATCCCTTAATGGTTCTAATCTTTTGGTCCCCAGTAATCATCCATGACACATTCATAGTTGCAAGGAGAAAAAGTATGTGAACCTTTGGACTTAATTCCTGGGTTTTGACCATGAATTGGGCATATAACCTCTGAAGTCAAACGTTTCTCATTAGTACAACATAGAATCAACGACTGGAGTCATGCTGAACATCCTCTTCACAAACATTCGATGTTTCATGGTTTAAGCAACATAACATGTAAACATTCACAGTGCAGGGAGGAAAAAGTGTGTGAGGCCCTCTTAAGGTCTGCCACAGCATTTAATTGGAGGGAGTGAGGTCCAACCTTGACTGGGCCAATCCAGTGTGTGATTTGTGCTGTGTTGCAGACACCTGTTTTGTTGGTTTACTGGTGTATGCTTTGAAGCATTGTCTGATGCATGAACCATCCTCTGCAGGAGCTCTCAGTTGACCTACAGATCAAGTAATTTTTGACTTGCTTGTAAACTCTGGAAATTTTACAAATGTACAATCCTTGAGCCCTTGATGTTCATGTGTCCACGGTAAGACCAGATGTCTACAAATGGAGAAAGTTTAGCATGGGCTACTCTCCCTGATGTGGTGTCCTGTAAAAATGACTGCAAGAGAGTTGTGTGCCCAGCGCAATCAATGCTGCATGAGTCATCTTCCCAAAGAAGAATCCCAGAGTGTCAGCTTTAAGACCTATCAGGTGCTCTTTTGCAAATCAAATCTGCTGCACATGCTAACTTTTTGGTTGCAATGGCTTCTACAATAAGTCCTCCATGTAATTCAAGAATGGAGTACATTGGGAGGACACCACGGAGGAAGTTAGCATGTCCAAAAAGAGATTCAGCAGTTTTTTGCTGACCCCTGGATGTTCTTTACACTCTGGCAGAATTCTGTGGACAGAGGCCTTGATTCATTTTTAAGAACACACACACTATGTGTCAGCAGAAAAAAAGGCTAGCACACCAACATTTCAAAACAGTCATCCTTACTGTGGAAACATGGCGGAGGGAGCATCATGGTTTGGGAGATGCTTTGCTGTCAGGGCCTGGACGGATTGTTTCATGATGTCAAAATTCTTGAATTCCAGAGTTTATCAAGACATTTTGCAGGAAAACATAGACCATCTTCCGCCAACTGAAGCTCCGCAGAACATGGGTGATGCAACAGGACAATGACCCAAAGCATACAAGTAATTCAACAAAACAATGGCTGTCAACAACACAGAATATCGGCCTTCTGGAGTGGCCCAGTCAGAGTCCTGCTCACCTCCTGGCCCATTGAAATGCTGTGGCATGACATTAAGAGAGGATTCACACCAGACATCCCTGCACTGTGAATATTTACACTGAAACATGTTTTGTGAAGAGGAGTGGTCCAAAACATCCTAATGTTTGTGTAGGTTCAGCAGACTGTGCATTCTATTGTTGGACTTAAAACGTTTGAGTTGAGGTTATTGCTGCCAAAGGAGGGTCAAAGTCCACATAATCCAAGGGGTTCACATACTTTTTCTCCCTGCACTGTGAATTTACACATGTTATGTCAAAACTGCCATGGCAAAGGAGCTAATGTTCCTCCTACGGCCAGTATTATGTTCAGCAGATTTTCTGCTAGGATGTGGTGACTTAGATGACTTTGCAAGGGCACATTTTACCAGTCCAAATCATCATGCAAAACTCCATGGTTCTAATCCCTTTTGGTTCACATACTTCTTCTTGCAACACATATGTATACCTGGTCATTACTATCGGAACATGCTCGTTGTGTCAAGATCATATAGATTATGGTCATAGCACCACATGGGATCTATACTACAGAAATCAAAGGTGAAAATAGCTACATGAGTGTTGGATGAGTTGTACCAAAATATAGTGGTGTCACCTATTTCGGTGATATCCACCTGTTGAGCCTCTGTCAGACTCATTAGAAAAAGGATATACAACATAGTTGTCATGGTGTAGATGACGCCTTTCCCTCAGGGTTCGGGACTTTCTTGCAGTGGGAGGCGTGTATCCAAGTGTTCTTCCCGGCCACCTTGTCAGAAGGGGCTGTGGTCAGCAGAACTTGGAATGGACCATCATATCTTGGCTCAAGGGAATGTTTCCTCATAAATGTCTTTACTAATACCCAATCTCCGGGTAATAGGCTGTGAGTTCCTGTATCTGACTCAGAATCTGGAATGGAGAAAACACTTGGACATGGATACGGGTTAATTCACGTGATAATACAGTCACATAATCA